TGAGAATTTGCCTTTTAGTGTGAGAATATTTAAATAGGACAAAAATGTAAATAAGAAAGATTATGGCACAGTTTCCCTTCTCTTGGTCCACAACCCCACCCAACTAAGCCATTATAAAGATAAACTGAGGGTTTCCTATTAATTTTTTCTTTTGCCCATCATCTACCAGAAAGGAAACTGATTAACTGAAAATAAATAGTACACACTTCAATTATTCTTAATTCAATTACAGTAAATTTAATAAAATTCCGAAATTTTGAGTGCTCTGCAGTAACTAATAATGCAATGTGCAACGGAATCAGTTTAATAAAGTAAAATATTAAAGAAACTATTAAACTTAAGGGAAAAATATATGAGGTTTTCATGCTTTCATCATTAAAACATTCGTGACTTTGCTGACAAGCCTGGAAACACATTATTCCAGTCATAAATCCGAAGAAGCAGATTCCAAAATGACTGGAAAAAAGGAAACAGTTGTGCCGGTGTTCACAGGAAGGTATGTAACTATGGCCCCGTTTTATTGACAATGACAGATGCCCAGACAATGGTTGGCGATCTTATGCAGGTCACACATATATTTACACATGCTAGTCACCAGCTAAGTCAATTAATTTAATTAATTTTATAATTAATTTTATATTTCTGTGATATGCATCAGTGACAGAAACATTCAGTCTTGTACTGAAAAATGTTTATGTGTTTCTCTATTAGAAAGCACAGTCCATCTTGAGGATTTTAAAATTAACTAAGCTACTGAAGGGCTTTCACGGTCTGTTGAAGTCCACCTTCTTTTGGTTGGCTGCTCTTCACAAGCCAGAATTTGAACAGCACCTGATTGGGGCAGCCAGAGCTGTGTGCTTGACATGATTGTATCAAATTATCCACTCTCACTGACATTACATTATGCACAACCAAGAGTAGGAAAAACTTCTAGAATTAAGAGCAGTCTGAACTTTCAGTTTTTATGTAACACTCCCATGTATAATAATGGGTTTCCTATAAAAAATACCACAAAGCACATAGCGTCAGAGTTAAAACCACCGAAATACCTTCTCTTAGCCATGGGATATGTCCCATCTGGAAAATACTCAAAGAGAACTAAAACCTCATTACTTCAAGCTGAATCAGACTGGCAGCACTTCTATTAAGTAAACATCTGGATTATCTGGATATGAGAAACACTGTTACATACAGAAAGTAAGTGAAGCATATTACGTTCAGAATAGATAGACACTTGTATTTTATAGAATAGAATAGAATAGAATAGAATAGAATAGAATAGAATAGCCTTTTGTTGTGATTGTACATGTCCAACAACATTGTGGGTGCTTCACACCAACTGTGCTGGGATAAACTAGAACTAGCACACACATACACTTACACTGATAAGCATTCACACATCCCCCCTCCCCTTCCAATGCCTTCGATGCTTGTTGCCTCCTGGGAACATGAGGCGGGTCTGGGCCCGTGCTGGAGAGTTGGCGCAGTGGCAGGATGGCTGCTGTGTTGCCTGGGATTACTCCTTATCCTCTACCCAACCCTGTTGCTGGTCATGTGCTCTATAATGTTGTACTGTGGACGTTTATGTGCTTTTCTGTGCAGAGGAGTTTTTTTTTGTTTCCTGTTCTCATGCTGTCCTCCTGTAGGCACTGACCAGAGGGCAGCATGTAAAACAGGAGGTGAGCAACGTGCAAGGGGTCACCTGTGTGGCAATGTTTTTCTTGAGACAGGAGGATCTGGCAATGGCCTTAAGGGGTAGCAGGGGGCAGCTAATTCATTTTTGGCCAGCGTTAATTAAATTACCCTCTGTGCAGCGTTCCTGTTCTCAGTCGTGGCTCCTGTGTACCAAACACCCAGGCAGTAAGAGAGCATGCTCTCCGCTGAGATGCGGAAGAAGGCCAGCAGCAGCTTCCAGTCCAGGTTATTCTTCTTTAGGACATAAAGGAAGTGCAGCCGCTGCTGGGCCTTCCACTGGACATTGGTGTTGTGAGTCCAGGTGAGATCGGTGGAGATGTGGGTGCCCAGAAACCTGAAGATTCCACCCATTCTCCATCTACAATCAGAGGGAAGTGCATCTGTCCGTGCCTCCCTAAATCCATTATGAGTTCTTTTGTTTTATGGACTTTCCGTCTCCGCTTATTTTCTGAGCACCAGCGGGGTAAGTTCTCTACCGCTCCCCTGTACGGTGCATCTCATCCATCCATGAGCCCAACCACCGTGGTTTCATCGGCATACTTGGCAATGATGTTGGTTGGGTGGGTTGGTGTGCAGTCATAGGTGTAGAAGGGGTAAAGTAGTAGGCTGGGTGTTCATTTGTGTCAGCTGTTTCCCCATGTGTTTCCACTTCCTCTGATCACCTCCTATTTAATCTGTGTGTTTCATTCAGTGGTTGTCAGGTCATCTGTGTTCCCTATACCATGTCAAGTGTCACTCAGGTATTTCATGATTCAGCTCAGGTCTTGCTCATGCACCATGTTTGTGTTGCTTTCTCATAGTTCTTGCATGCACCTGCTCTGAATCATGTTCATGTCTTATGTCACAGTCATCATAGTTTAGTTTCTGCTAGTTTAGGTGCTGGTTTAGTTTTTGCCCCTCTCGCTTTTGCTCTGTTTGTGTACTCTTGTTATCAGCTATAATAAATGGCTCGCTTTGAGTTCAAGTCACATTTCACACTCCATTTTTGGGTCTGCATTTGGGTCGAGTATTCACTCTCCACACAGTTGGCTCCCACTGCCTGTTACACCCTGTGGGCAACCAGTGCTGAGTGACAGTGGGGGGAAGAGGTGGGGGCTGAGTTGGACTGATTAAGGCTGGTTGGTGAGGAGCTTAATAGTTACTCTTTTTGGATAAGCCATTAAAAATTATGTAAAATTATCAAAGCACACATCACAGCTGAAAACATCACAGTTCTACAGATCAGATTGAGGAAATGTTAGATTCCAGGGCCAAGCCTGGAATCTGTCTGTGCAAGGCTGAATGCTTTTACTGATGGATTGGATCTCTGTTTAAAGAATTCCTTTGCTCTTTTTTTGAAACCTTTCCCAAAGATAATGAAGAGATCTGGCTTAAGGACAAGGACACTGTTGAAGAAGGCTAAATATAGAGAAATGTGTTGGTAGATGACCAGTATGAGATGACGCCTTAGAAAGTCAACTATTTCGAGCACACTTAGTAACTCACTTAAACGGAATATTATCCAGCAGATCAGCAATGCCAGGAGAACTGCCAGGAAGAGAGTGGTGGCCTTCTCCTTTGGTCTGTCCTTAACATACCGTAATTAAGGTATGTTTCCAAAGATGAAAGACTGATCTGGTCATATTTACCATGAGGTAAAAAGGTTCTGGGACGTATGGCTATTGACGGTGGCTTACCAGTAAGCCATAAAAGACCTTCAAGTTTGTCAGCTGTCCATCTAGTGTCTTCCACTTATCCTTAACAGGGTCAAGGGGGCCTGGAGTCTGCCCTAGCTACCATAGGACGATAGGTTCATTTAAATTGGTTTGTGGAGTAGGCTACTTGGGTTCAGTTGTGGCCCTGCTGCAGTGTAGCCTCCACAATTCTAAACAGGAGCACAACTAGTCATGTTATAGTATATGCAACTGTGAATTTTGGATTTCTTAATCACTCTTTGAAAAAATAGCCTGGTAATCTGCTAAGTTTTGCTAACTGCTGGATATTTATTTGCTGGCAAGAGAGCTGAATGTCTATAAAGGCCAGTGTTCGATTAATAAGAAATTTCCAGGAATCCTGAAAATATTATTTTTAATATTATTTTAAACATCAACAAAACTATAAAAAGGTAATTTATGTTCATGAAGATAAAGCAGTAATTCAGACAACTTGCATAATGGATTGCTTTGCCTGGGAGCATATTGAACTTCTGAACTTCAGCTTTGTTGAACTTAAAGGTCTTTTATGGTTGGCTAGTAGTGGTAAACCACCGTCAACAGCCATACGTCCCATGTTTTGCACAGGACAGTGTTTGTGTAAAATTTGGCATTCTTGTCAGATCATCATCACTATTTCTGGGAAATAACAGTGTTTGAGTGTGAACTGATAAAGAGTGTCATGCAGAGTACTGCCTGCATGGTAAAGTAGTGTTGAGAGTCCCAGTTTTGTTATTGACTTTTACTGTATAAATCTGGCTTTCCTTTGAGTTGATGGATGGGTGTCTAGCTTATCTTTTCCTAATTGATTGTATTCTGGCCATTCATTAAAAAGACAAAAGTATTTCTTATCCAATTACTTGATTAATCGATGAAATAATCAATATATTACTCAATTACTAAAATAATCAATAGTTGTTTTATAAAATATCTGACACCGATGTGATCAAGAAATACACCTAACTGAAATGCATGGTTTTTCTCAGGATTCAGATAATATTAAAAGCCTTTATTGCTCATGTTGTGTCAAAATTCAACACAACTGAGCTTAAGTCTCCTAATTCCCTGTTTGAGTACAGAGAATTTATGACGTCTTTGTGCAAAAGAGACAGAAAATACTTCCATTTGTTTTTTTGTTTTTGTTTTTTTGCATGTCCCGTTTGGTTCTTTTGCCATCAGAATTATTGTCTAAAGGCGAAAAAAGATGCCCAACGGATTTACTTTACCAAATTGACCATCCCAGCCTTGCCGTAATGGTCTATTTGATTTACCTTTTATTGTTTATTTTATTTATTTTTTATTTTCACTTGCTAGATACGGGACAGACTTGAAGAAGGGGACAGAGCGGGGGATACTGAATACTTCCATTTGTTAGGAGACCTGGGTCATCGACCAAGAGTTTTGAGTTTACATTATTATTGAACTTTTATTTTGATATTATTCGTCATCTCTAGTCTTTTAAGCCGTGTATTTTCCTCTGTCCGTGTTGCGATCTACCATCTACCATGCTGTGTGTTTTCCCTTTCAACTGGTTTGTTGTTTATTTTTGTTACGGCCGGGACCGTTTCAGACGAGTGACAGGACTCAAACGCAAGACGCCGAACAGCTCGAAAATATATTTTAAGAATAATGTTTAATGTGCACACAAAATATTCATAAACAAAAGGTGAGCGTAGACGTTAACTAAATAATGATCTGGTCCGGGTCCGGGGATTGGACTGGAAAGCAAGTCACAAAAGGTCCAGGAAAAGGTCGGGGTCACTGTAACAGAATGCAAATGTTCAAAACATAGATAAGGAGGCATATGAATATGTTGTTGGCTCAAAATCCTCCTTCGTACTGTGTACTTGCCAACGGAGGTCGGAGATGACATAGAGGGGAGTAATCCGGGTGTGTAAATCCAAAAACTCCTGGCGTGGAGGCAGAGAGGCAGGTAGGTAGTTTTGGTGGTAGCCTGAGGGACTGCCAGAAGGTCCAGCATCCAAGTAGAAGCTCTTCGCCAGGGGTTTAACAGTTAGGTGTAGCTGAAAAAGGGAGGCGCACAAAAAACAAACATACAGTGAAGCAAAGGTGATTCACAAAAAAACACGTAAGGAAATTATGGTGGTGGCCTGCACTGACTGATGTTTAGCAGAGAATCTGGCGAAGAGAGATTGAGAACGCTGGCCTTATGAGTCCCCCGGCTAATTACCCACAGATGTCAACGATCAGCAAAAACACTGAGGCCCCTCCCAGGGGTGGAGACGCCGGCTCGGAGGGAGACACACTGGCACACACCCGGACCATGACAGTACCCCCCCCTCAAGGGACGCCACCCGGCGGCCGACCAGCACCCGCCCCACGACGTGACCTAAGAAAATCAGAAACCATCACAGAGTCAAGCATCGAAGAACGAGGAACCCAAGAACGCTCCTCCGGCCCATAACCCTCCCAGTCCACCAAAAACTGCAGCCCCCTACCCCGCCGCCGCACATCCAGAATGCGCCGGACAGAAAACGCAGGATGCCCGTCAATGAGCCGGGCGGGAGGCGGGGGCACCGGAGGCGGGCACAGATGACTAGACACCACCGGCTTCACCTGAGAAACGTGAAAGACCGGGTGAACCCTCAAGGCAGCAGGCAAACGGAGCTTGACAGCCGAAGGGCTGAGGACCCTGTCCACAGAATAGGGGCCGATGTAACGAGGAGACAACTTGCGGGAGGATGCCCTGAGAGGGATGTCTTTCGCAGCGAGCCACACCTTCTGTCCAGGTGAGTAAACAGGCGCAGGAGACCGGCGACGGTCGGCACAGCTACGTTGGCGAGCCACAGCTCACAACAGCGCCTCCCGCGTACGAGACCAGACCCGACGGCAGCGCTGTAGATGATGCTGGACCGAGGGACAGCAAGATCAGCCTCCTCCACCGGAAACAGGGGCGGCTGATAACCCAAAGAGGCCTCAAACGGTGACAACCCAGTAGCAGACGAAACCAAGGAGTTGTGGGCATATTCCACCCACGGCAGATACGAGGCCCAAGTCGCAGGGTTATGACAGGTCACACAGCGGAGCGCGGCCTCCAGCTCCTGATTTAAACGTTCCGTCTGGCCGTTCGTCTGAGGATGGTAACCAGAGCTCAGACAAGGCCTGGCCCCCAAAGCAGCGCAAAAAGAACCCCAAACCTGGGACGAGAACTGCGGACCCCTGTCCGAAACTATTTCCACAGGAATGCCATGAAGCCGAAAAACATGGTCCAACAACAACGTAGACGTCTCAGCCGCAGTGGGCAACTTCTCCAAAGCGACGAAATGAGCAGCCTTAGAAAACCGATCCACGACCGAGAGAATAGTGGTCTTCCCAGCCGAAACCGGGAGTCCCGTAACAAAATCCAGGGCGATGTGGGACCAAGGGCGATGAGGCGTAGACAACGGCTGCAACAGCCCAGCAGGACGGTGAGTACGCGACTTACACCTGGCACACACAGGGCACGCAGCCACATACTCCCGAACATCTTTATCCAGAGTGGCCCACCAAAAATGTCTCTTAACCATAGAAGTCGTCCTGCCCCTGCCCGGGTGACACGCAAACCTCGAAGCGTGCACCCATTCCAGTACCTTGGAGCGAGCAGCCGCGGGAACAAAACGCCGGTTAGGCGGTCCCGTGCCCGGATCCGGTTCCGTCCGGAGGCCCCGGTCGATGGCGTCCTCCACCTCCCAGGTAATAGCTCCCACCGTACAGCCGGCCGGAAGAATGGTGGAAAACTCCGCCGGACCCGTGTCAGAGTCAAACTGCCGAGAGAGGGCATCCGGTTTGGTGTTTCTGGAACCCGGGCGATAGGAAATGGAAAAGTTAAAACGTGCGAAAAACAGCGACCAACGAGCTTGACGTGCATTCAACCTCTTCGCACCGCGTAGGTACGTCAAGTTCTTATGATCCGTCCACACCAGGAACGGTAGCGCCGCGCCTTCCAGATGATGACGCCACTCCTCCAACGCCAACTTAACGGCAAGCAGCTCCCGGTCCCCCACATCATAGTTCCGTTCCGCTGGTGAAAGCCGCCGAGAGAAAAAGGCGCACGGCCGCAGCTTAGAGGAGGGCCGGCACGTTGTGAAAGCACAGCCCCCACCCCCACATCAGAAGCATCCACCTCCACAATAAAAGCCTTAGACGGATCGGGTTGAGCGAGGATGGGCGCAGTAGAAAACAGATGTTTCAGCTCCGTGAATGCGCTGTCAGCTTCGGCGGACCAGCCGAACGGAAGCTTCGTAGAGGTAAGGCGTGTAAGCGGAGCCGCCACTAGACTGTAGTTCCTTATAAACCGACGATAGAAATTCGCAAATCCCAAAAACCCCTGGAGTTGCTTGCGAGTAGAAGGCACAGGCCAGTCAGTGACCGCCTTCACCTTAGCCGGATCCGTCTTCACCTGCCCCCCTGCCAAGATGTATCCCAGGAAAGAGACCGATGTCAAATGAAACTCACATTTCTCAGCCTTGGCATACAGTCTGTTTTCCAAGAGGCGTTGAAGGACAGCACGGACATGTGAATGATGCTCAGCCAAAGACTTAGAAAAAATAAGAATGTCATCTAAATAGACGAACACAAAACGGTCGAGGAAATCCCGCAGGACGTCATTTATTAGGCCTGAAACACCGCTGGAGCGTTCGTTAAACCGAAAGGCATAACGAGATACTCGAAATGACCCAGGGGGTGTTAAACGCGGTCTTCCACTCGTCTCCCTGACGGACTCGCACCAAATGATAAGCATTGCGAAGATCTAACTTAGTGAACACCGTGGCACCCTGTAGCGATTCAACAGCGGAGCTAATGAGTGGCAAGGGATACTTATTTTAACAGTGACGTCATTCAAGCCCCTGAAATCAATACACGGCCGAAGAGACCCATCCTTCTTGTCTACAAAAAAAACCCCCGCCGCCACGGGGACGAAGACGGACGGATTAACCCAGCCGCTAATGAATCCCTAATATACTCCTCCATCGCAGCACGTTCAGGCCTAGAGATACTATATAACCGGCTCTTGGGCAGGGACGCTCCGGGGAGCAAATCAATCGCACAGTCATAAGGGCGATGGGGCGGTAGGGACTGCGCTTTGATCTTACTGAATACCTCCCGCAAATCATGATACTCAGGCGGCACCCCTGAGAGATCGGGGACATATTCGTCAGTCCCCGTAACCTCCCCCGGGCCGGGAAAACGGGCGGAAGTCAGACAATTGGAGTGGCAAAAAGGGCTCCAGCTGACAACCCTTTGCCCCTCCCAATCCAAGTGCGGATTGTGTAAGCACAGCCAGGGATAACCCAAAGTGAGCGGAGTATCAGGTGAATCGAGGACAAAAAAGGTGAGTTTTTCCCTATGATTCCCCGAAGTGCACAGTGACACTGGACCAGTGCGAAAAGAAATTCTAGTGAAAACCTGGTTATTAATCGCTTTAACTGGAATGGGCGGCTCAAGGCGCACGAGCGGAACGCCTAATCGTTCAGCGAGATCGAGACTAATTAAATTCTGTTCAGAACCAGAATCTAATAAGGCTGTGCACGAATGAGTACTCTGTAGCATCTCCAAGGTGACAGGGAGTTGTAAACGGGGTTTCTGACCAGAATTCGAACCGCCCACCCGTATCCCCGATTCTACCGGCGGGCGACACCTTTTCCCTCCTTCGGGCATGCAGCAATCAAGTGTTCCAGCGAGCCACAGTAAAAACAGGCATGAGCCCGACGCCGCCGCTCCCTCTCCTCCGGTGTCAACCGTGACCGGCCAATCTGCATAGGCTCCGGCTCGGGATCAGTGACGTAAGCCGAGGCGACAAACTCATGCGAGTCCACAGTCGGAGGCGGCGACGGTGACGTACCAGGAAACGAGCGCGGTAAACGGCGCTGGGATTTGTAGTTCCTGTCCCTCTCCCTGTCACGCAACCTGTTGTCAATGCGAAGGGAGAGGGACGCCAGTTCCTCAAAAGATTTTGGCTCATCACGGGAGGCAAGCTGGTCTTTCATACCCTCGTTCAATGCCCGGAAAAACACCCCACGCAGAGCGTCGTCAGGCCAACTGGTTTCGGCGGCAGCAGTACGAAAATCAATCAAAAAATCAGCAACCCTCTGACGGCCCTGGCGAAGATCCAGCAGCCTCTGCGCAGAACTACCCTCAGAAATGGGGTGCGCAAACGTTTTCTGGAATTCCCCCAAAAACACCTCATAAGAACAGGTTAACAAAGGATTCTTCGATAGATACGCCTCCGCCCATTTAAGTGCACGATTACGCAGTTTACCCACCAAATAAGATATCTTATTAGAATCCGCAACAAATGTGCGCGGAGAACGACCGAAAACAAGGTCAACCTGAAGCAAAAACCCGCTACAACTCCCTGGATCCCCTGAGAATGGTTCGGGCTCCGGGGACGTAGCATCACGGAAAGCTGATGTAGGTGGAGATGCAACGGCAACAGGTTGAGGCAGAGGAGCTGGTGTACCGGAGTCTTGGCCCGCGGGGCCCGAGGCGGAACCAGCAGCAGTAGAAATATCAGTTTGTAGAGCCTGGAGGGTCTCAAGTATTTTAGTTGACCATCTCTAAGAGTCTGCTGCTGGGCTAACAGGAACTGAATAGATTGTTCATGACTTCCTAATATCGCCCCCTGCCTCTGAATGGCTGACCGTTCCGCGTCTGCTGAGTCCATAACTGCTGGCCAGATTCTACTGTTACGGCCGGGACCGTTTCAGACGAGTGACAGGACTCAAACGCAAGACGCCGAACAGCTCGAAAATATATTTTAAGAATAATGTTTAATGTGCACACAAAATATTCATAAACAAAAGGTGAGCGTAGACGTTAACTAAATAATGATCTGGTCCGGGTCCGGGGATTGGACTGGAAAGCAAGTCACAAAAGGTCC